ACCCAACCCACCCCGTTTTTTTTTTTTTTTTTAGCGAGTAAGAACGCCTTACTCGGTCAAGTAGCCATCCAAGCCGATAGTAGCACCATGGTGATCTTTGACGTAACCATGGCGAAGGCCTCCATTGGGCAGGGGGGGACAGGCGGCGGTGATGCCACAGTGCTTGAGCAGGTTGAGGCTGGGAGACGACGGTGAGGACGAGGAGGATGTGGAGGAGGAAGGCTTCATGGTTGACAGAATGAGAGCTAGGCAGTCGGCAACAGCTTTATTGGATGCGCAAGCCAGGGCTGGCGTATGACCTGTGACGTGACAAAAACACAAAGGCATCTTAGCCAAGGAGAAACTCATTTAAATGTAGCAGTTAGGCTACATGATTTATGGAGCGTTTGTTCAAGGGATAGTTCACCGAAAAATTTAAATTCTGTCATTAATTACTCACCCCCATGGCCTTTTTGTGCGCAAAGAAAACAAAAATAACTATTTAACAATTTCTTCTGGGACAGTCTGCCACCATTAACGAGAGTACCATGGCGCATGCCGTTATTTTTGTTTTCTTTGCACACAAAAGGTGTATTTGCAGCTTCGTAAAATTACAGTTGAACCACTGATGTCACATGGACCATTTTAACGATGTCCTTACTACGTTTCCGTGCCTTGACCATGGTAGGATCCTTGCTGTCTATGGAGGGTCCGAAAGCTCTCAAATTTAATCAAAAATACCTTAATTTGTGTTCCGAAGATGAACGAAGGTCTTACGGGTTTGAAAAGACATGAGGGTGAGTAATTCAAGAAAGAATATTCATTTTTGGGTGAACTATCCTTTTAAGATGGAGCACTGTGCTAATGTACCGTATTTTCCAGAAAGTCGCTTATATTCCAAAGTAATGAAAATAACATCAAGCACACACAACATATCAGTTCTAACATGGCTAACTTGACATCACAGCCTATTCATCAAACTAAAATGCAGTCAACCAAGCCTAAAGTTACACGGTTCAAATTCTCACATCTGTTTTTTTTTCCGCAGGGAAATTACTGTCTTTCAGTAAATGACGGTAAGTTGTTGTTAGCTGCTGTCGAATTATAAATGGTTTATGCATTCGTACAGAAATGTTTTATTTCTTGGGTTTCACTTTTTTTTTTTTATCTCTCCCTAACACCATTTGTGCTTGATAGGCAAGGCAAAGCACATCAAGTTTATTTCCCACATGCTGGTAATTCAGTTTCACTTTAAATAAGTTTATGCTCTGTGTTTCTAATAAATGTTGTTTATAATAAATGGCATCATAATTAAAATGTTTTGATGTTCTGTGGAGTAAAGGGAACTAAAATATACTATAGTATATAGTATAAACTTCTAAATTATCTAAGCTAACAAAATGTAAAAGATTGGATGACCAATACATTTCTCCTATTAAATTCGGATAAGACAGAGATATTATTTATTGGACCAAAAAACAATACACAGAATCTCTTGGATTACAATTTGCAACTAGATGGATGTACTGTTACTTCCTCTACAGTCAAAAATCTGGGTGTTGTATTAGACAGGAACTTGTCTTTTGAAAATCATATTTACCATGTTACAAAAACAGCATTCTTCCATCTTAGAAACATTGCCAAGCTACGAAATGTTAGCTACCGGTTTCTGATGCAGAAAAGCTAGTTGATGCTAACTTTGCACACCCACTGCAAAAACTCCCATCTTCTCCTTCTGTCCCCTCACTGAGGCAGAAGTATCAAAACGTGCTAATATTTTGGAATTATTTTATTTAACATTTTTTACAATTATTTCTGAATGTAATAAAATGTGATTTAAACTGCAATTCAACTGATGTTTGTTTTTCCCCCCCCTCTCAACAGTGAAATTTTTACCCGGTCCAACCAGTATTCAATTGCAAAAAATACATACGTATATATATATATATATATAAGATTTGTCATGTTCAGAACAGTAAATGACTAGTATGCTAACTTCATCAATATTAATATAGCATTTCTAATAATTATTCCATGGAAACAATTGCACAATATACTTTTTACCCCTAATCTTATCTTTGCACCAGTTCATGTTGCTGTGAGCAGCTCACACAAACTTTTCCCAAAAATGCAAAACATAAATTTGTCTGTATTGTATTGCAAATTCACTTAGAAAAACCACAGCAAGGCCTGTCTTACCTTCCTCATCCACTGCCAGCACTGTGGCTCCACGATTCAGCAAGGCCTGAACCACGGTGGCCAAACCATTCCTGGCGGCAATGTGGAGGGGCCTGAAATATAAAGAAAATGAAGTTGAGAATGATTTTAAAATGTTTGTCCAGTTTATTCTGAATGAGTTACAAGTAAAGTTTGTAGTTTCTGTGCCACAAAGACAAATCAAGCAAATGTTTAAAGCTAGTCAGGATGCTCAAAAAAGAGAGCAATGTTATGAAATTGCTACAGAGCCATGAATAATTACTTGTTGTATTTGCAAACTAGGACAAAGAAACTCACATTTGAAGCATACTGTTGGTTGCATTTATGAGGATAGGGTTGTGGATCTCCTTCAAGATCAGCATGGCACACATTTCATGAGCCTTCAAACACACAGTTAACAATATGCACAACATTTGAGAAATCTGATCAAGAGAAAATTAGTGTTAATAGAGCACAGTTTGTTACCTTGCTGCAGGCCAGGTGCAGGGCAGTGTTCTTGTTCACATCCAGGAGGGACAGGTCAGCTTTGGCTCTGTGCAGCAGTAGGGCTGCATACGACAATAACAAAAAAATCTGAAATTACTAAGCTCTCTATAAAGGCATGAGACTTACAATGTCTGAGGGTCTTGGATTACTTATATCACACATGGTACAACTCTTACCCACAGCACCGCTTTGGCCATTGTCGGCGGCCACCATCAGTGCAGAACGCCCTGAGTGGTCTACGGCGTTGATGTCAGCTCCATGCCGCAGAACCAGCTGCAGCCCAGCCATGTCCTCGGCAACTGCGGCCGCGTGAAGCGGGGTCCTGAGTACAAAACGTTAGAACATAGTCATTTAGATAGTTGATAACTCATGTACTGGTTTTCAATTTGTAACTTTTTAAAAATTAATATACATATATAATTGTATTTTAACCTCCTGGGGTCGAGCAGATTTGAATGATAACAGCAAAAAGAACTTCAAATGCTCCTTCATACGTGATCGTACATATAAGAGTAATACAGCATTTAAATCTGTAAAGGGTCTACTTTTATTTGTGTACACTCACAATATCAACAAAACATTGTGCTTTTGCAAAATAAAGAAAATAAACAGGGTGTGCTTTTAGCCGTCTCATTCTCCGTTCATATCTGTTTGAAATGCGTCAATAAAATGAACTGAAACTCAGCGAATATTTGACACACACACGTGAGAGATATATCTATTGAAAGCTTGACATGTCTACTTTTAAATGAAGTATGTCATGCCAAAAACAAATATTATGTGACAAAGTAATCAGTATGAAACCAACGCGGTGTCAAGTCTTGGCCGTCGCCTTCATTATCGCTAATGTGACCACGCCCACTCGCCGATCTCGCTTTTGATATTACAATCGTCCACGTGAGACACGCGCATGTAAACGCCCACATCACAGCAAACAAAGCAGCGAGACTTTCCCTCAAGTTCATCTCGGCTACTTCGCTTCTGGAAGAGGACGCGCTGAGAGGAATAAGATAGAAAGAGCTTTGGATTTTCCTCAGAAGAACGCGTTGGCTTGATATCCAGTGGAGGATATCATTTACACTAGTAAGTCTTTTTTTATTAGCCTACTTGCATTAGTTGTTATTGTGTTACTGTGACATAACTTGTACATATTTTACTAGTTAGACTTTTTCCAAACCATGATTCCTGACTAAATGTATAATCAAGTGAAACATTATGAAGATTCATTCACTGCATCTAATGTCTCACGATGCCAGGATGTTTTTTTTTTATGTTCTATAAAATAGACAGCAACGGTAATATGAGTTATAATGTAATTAAAAAAGTAATATGAGTTATAATGTTAGAGAAAGAATGTTTAGACTAAACTTTACAATAGGCTCTGCTCGCGTAGATCTTTATAGCGTGCTTAACAATAATCATTTATTTTTAGCTTCTGTTCGGGAATATCTGCTCTGTTGTAAATGGCAAAGCAGCCCACTCGGTCATGGAAAACAGAGACTCAAGTTGACATGTTCCACAGGCTCTGAGATTCCTGCCTGCACAGGAACCTGGACCACAGCTAAG